TGGGTCGATGATGATTGAAATGATACAAGTTCGGCTTTTTATTACATTTGCGTGTCCAATATTCGGTCGATAATCATTAGAATATTTTTATCGACTGCAATTATTAGCTGCTTGCAAGCGGGCAACACTTTTACACAATGAGCTGCCATCTTCAAAAAAGACGGACTATAACATTGACTTACAAATAAATGGACGACGGTTCTAATACAAAAACCACGAAAAAAATGTCCCAAGTCAACCTATTCGAAATTTAAATTGTAATGTCATCGCAGTATCGCGCTGTCAGTCGAACAAATGAAGACTAAAGCGGAGTTTGGCGCTCTGTATACGATTTTAGCGCCTTAAAAGTGCGGACACTTTTTAGCGCGGACCCGACGTCCATATAATTGTAAGTCAATGGACTATAAGGTCATTTTGACGGTATTTGTACTTAACATAAGCACTGAACTAAATAAAATAAAATCCTCGTAGTGCCCTTGACAGGTTTACGTGTTAAACATTTTTACCCATGTAAAAGTATCAGTCACGGCGTCATCTTCTCAGACTCCGGAAAAGGGCAGACTATGGAAAAGGGCAGACTATGGAAAAGGGCAGACCATGGAAAATGGCAGATTATGTAAAGTGGTTTGTGTTTATTAAATCAGATTATGATTATGTACATGTTTAATGTTCGTCTTTTAAATTGTTTTTCTGACTGCTTCATGCAGCCCTCGAAACAAAAAAAGGCAAAACAAACATTTTTACCAAAAGTGAGTTATAAGTATACATACATACTTTGGGACCAGGGCGCAAAGGGCATTCTACCTGATTTTTTGTAGAAATTTATCTCAATTGTTTGTAGTAATCTCAAAAGCAGCACTGGTGTCAATAATCCGATATTCTACCATAAATAGTCGTTTTTTAATTATTTAAATTTTCGATTTTTTTTTATCGTGCAGTATTATTTAACATTCGAGTATTGCATTGTGAAATATTATTTAATAATTAGACTATAATATACTAGAATACTTAATTATAAAAATAGCCACGGAAATTAGGTATTGAACAAGAATGACCGAAAAACACTCCTAACGGTAATGTGACCGATGTACTTGAATTACAATAATTACTTCCTAAATAACCCAAAAAGGCGAAACTCTCTGTAATTTTATTGTGTTCTTTAGTACAGTTATAAGTATTAAAAGTCACATTTAACTTATATTATTAATAATAATATTTTTTTGAAAATTAAGATTGTTTATTTTAACGCGTTATTAAAATATAATGAATTCTGTATAAAATATATCTTAAATGTATATTTATATCACATTTGGCTTAATATAAAAAAAAATACATTACACCTGTAGTTTTTGTCAGAATAACCTACAATATTGTAAACGACGTCGAATCGAGCTGTCTCAATTCGACTGTGTTTTTTGTGTATGTTAGGTTTTGTTTAAACGGATTTCGATGATTATTTTTTGTTGGTAAAGGGGTGTCTCAATAGTGATCCATTAATTGGAAGAAAATATTCCATCTCTAAGAGTGGCGAATTAGGTGATGAATCCTGTTTATTGATTTTAAATAAAAAAAAATCTTTATTTCAGTAATACAATGAACTTTACATGAACAGTGGATGGTACCTCCTATTAAGCTTATTAAGCCTGTGTCAGGAGGCACCGCTCTTCCATAGCTATAAATGCATGTTTAACATTTTTAACTTATACTTAATATAGTGTTTAATTTTTACATTTCCAAACAAACAATTTTTTTTAACAATTTTCAACTTTCTTAACTTCTAATTTTAAATTTAATTTAAGTCTTAAAACCTATGTGTGTGTGTGGGTGTGCGCGTGCGTGCGTGCGTGCGTGCGTACGTGTCTGTCTGTGTGTGTGTGTGTGTGTGTGTGTGTGTATGCGTGTGTATGTGTGTTAACCTTTTCGTTACACTTTTTTTAGAGTTTTTTTGTTAGACTTTAACCCATTTTATGTTAATTGATTTCAATAAAACTGGTCATATATGTAGATGTAATGAGAATAAAACGTTGTGGTGACCTAGAGCTGATCTGCCAATGGAAAAAGCAGACAGACGAAAAGAACTCCTCAACAGTACAGCAGCAGCTACCTTGTGTTTGGGATTATATTAGGCTATCAACATATATTGCGGAATGGAAGCGGATTTTTGTAACGATATTATACACAGCGTAATGAACTTTATGGTCAATTGTGTAACGGACTGCGGAAATTCCGCAGCTGCCGTCGGCGACGCCTGGCGATTTCGCGGGAAGTGACGCGAAGGCAAAGCGCGGTGCGATGTGAAACGTCGACGAAATACTACAGCCTCAAGGCAGTTTGGATTTACATTCTTGGCCGCCCTTCGTCATTTATTGGCTGACTACATAATCAAGAGCCTGACTGTAACTTTTGTGGGTTTTTAGTCCAATGAAAGATGGTTAATTTATGCGCTATACACTTTAATCACTACTACACTTTGATTAGCACAGTTTAACTGTGCTAATTAATAGGGACGTTCACAATATAAATGTAAGGTATCCAGACAGATTAGTTTATCACAGTAGTACCAAATTAAGTTACTACCAGAGACAATCTGGGGCCGTATGTGTGAAAATATAATAATATATAATATTTTAATATAATACTTTACCATCTGTTACACAAGATATAAATAATAATTTATTTAAACGTAAGCTGATGTCATGGCGGAGAGATAAAAATTTCTACACCATTATATACTTTTTTTCGTATAAAACTCTTCTAATTAGAGTATGTAATTGATTTGACCTAAAATGTCATGAATTCATTATATATATTTAATTTAAATTTTTACTTCTACGTAACATGACAATAACTTACTATTACTTATAACATGTGTAATAACTCTATTTACATTATTAGAATTTGCTTCAGACTTACACAATTTGTAATGTAATAAAATTTAAAATTTGCGTGCCAGTTTTGGTAAAATATGAAAACTGTTACTGTGCACCACCTTTTGTAAAATATATTTTATGCAAATAAATATCAATCAATGAGTCATGGAAATTTAACAAACAAAAATTTATGAGGCAAAAAAATACCGTTCGTTCGCACAAGCTGGCAATTGGATCTCTGTCAACTCCTGGGCCGGCCCACGCCCCCCGCGGCCCCCATATCGCCGTCATCGGCTAGCGCCGGTCCGCGTTCGCAGCAGGCCTAACAAGTGTTTCTGAAATGTGCACAAACTTGTCAGTCAATGAAGCTATTTCTTTTAATAAATAATAAATAACGCACACACTCAACATAGTCCCGCACTAGGGAAACCCTGTGTCGCGGGTGCCATGGACACACACATATACAACCACAAATTACACCCAAACTCACGAGAGAAATAATTGTAGGCCATACAAATATTTTTCCCGGCCCGGGAATCGAACCTGGGACCTCTGCGTGGCAGTCCGGCATGGTAACCGTTCGGCCACTGAGGCAGTTTTACGAGTTCACAATTATGTTAGGTAAATAGTAACATGTCTGTCTATTCTTTGATACGAGGTTTGTTAAATAAATGCGTCGGATTTTTTACTTTCTCAAAAAAAGTATTCCCATTTTTTGTAGTATTTCTCCTCAGATATCGAAGCATTTCTTGAACGCAATTTTCAGTACGAGGATAATCACAGTTTAGACCTAAATCTGACAAAGTAACAAGATGGTGCAAAAGTTATCGCGGGATAAAATTTGTGGTTATTATTTTATATGTATGTTTATTATATTGTCAATTCACTTTATTCATTTCCGAAAAAAAGATTTTCGGCAAGTTTCCGAATACGAGTTCGGCATGAATCGACCATTTTTTACGCGTTTATGACTTGAAACAAATAACTCTTCGTATGAGCGTTCTTTAAGCGTATAACACTCAGAGCTATTTAATTTAGGCAACTCGTCAACTTCCCAAAACTTCTTCAACTGATTATCTGAAGCACTTGATTGAAGAAAGTTACACTGTACTTGCTTTAGGCGCAAATTACAGTGTAAATAGGTCCGGATATAATCCAACCAAGTTTTGTTTGTTGAAGATATGGCTCGGTCGGTAAACGAATAGTACCGGTAAGTAACAAGTCCCAGAAGTGATTAGCACCGATTCAAAAATCTATCTCAGAGGGAGTACCGAACGATGGGTCTGCGAGTTTAATGTTAGTGGATATATGCACAGACAACGTATCAATACGCACGGCAGGGGTACTAGACGTTATTTGCGGCAAAACTAAGCACTGAATGGGTTTATTATAATTACCATCTATTGACCTCAGGCTCACTGTACAAGTTTGAGTCGATTGGGTAATATTATGACCGTCACCTGCGATCTGATGTGTGGACTGTATAGATAAAGAGTTTATTTTATTGCATAGCGACTGTGATAACACAATGCTGGCTCCCACTGTCTAACAAAGCACGAACTTTGTGGTATTTATTATCGCGGCCTAGAATTTCAACTACGGCAGTTGATAATAAAACCGTTTGTAAAGCGCATGAATTTAAAAGACTCGTGGACTCATCGATTTGAGAGGCAGGGGGCACTTGTGTTACCACATGTAAAACACTAAAATTCTCATCTTTTATTAGGGCCCATCGTGTATATTTTTACAACACTAATATATTTCTAAATGTACGAAACGTTGTAAGTACCATTTTTACGCTGATGATTTTCAGATGTCATTTCAGTCAGGTGAAGCTTTTGTAGCGGTACTCAAGTTTAAGGATAGAATACCAGGATAGTGGGACCTTAATTGCTTGGTTTTAAAGCCAGTGAAAGCATATTTTTTTGTGCTAGGACTGCAATTAAAAAATTGTCGTATTGCGACGCTTTTGAAGAGATAAAGAATTACGAAATTAGAGGAGTGAAAATTCATAAAGAAGAAGGAAACAATTCATTTCTGTTTAAAAAAGCTCAAGTGAAAGTGCTGTAAAAGTGAGTGTAGTATGATGAGTGACGTAGTGTACAGGTGAATTTAGTAGAAGATGGAGTCACGAAGATGTGCCCAAGTACAGAGATGCACAACTGGTGGGCAGCGAGGTTGTTGGCGAGACAGCGGGACAGACGAAGCGGTGACGCTGCTGACGTAGCAGGTAAAGCGGCAAGTTGTACTCAAAGGTGGTGGTCTGTTATGTCTTGGGCATCGTTTTCAGCAGGTTGCGCGTCTCACGCATAAAGCTACTACGCATTAACTCCAATAGATTTCTTAACCATCCCAGTATCAAGAGTGTAAGGGTGAGGAACGGGTTTAACTTGAGGAAGTTGAGGAACTTGATATCGAGCCAGCGCAGTTTATAGGGCTCCAAAACGGTGAGTCTACGTATTTTTAGATCAATGGTAGTCCGTCAGACTCTGAATTAAGAACTCGAATGCCTCGACAAATCCGCAACGCCACAAATTTCGAATGTCGAGCTTTCAATTTCGATTGAAAAGTGAATTAATAAATGTATACGGCTAAATGCGAAAACGCTCCGGCGGACAAGCACCAAACGTACTCATATTGTGGATTACGAGTATACAAAAAGAAATTGTGTGGTCTAAGAACGAGTACAACACATTTGGGACCCAGAAAAGAAAAAAAATATATACCAAGATTTCTTAACCTGTGGTCCATGCACCCCTAAGAGGTCCATGTAATTAACGCTGGGGGTCCATGGCGAGCCTACCTAACATAACAAATGCATTATATAAAATTTGTATAGTGAGGATTAGTATAATATGTTGTGATTAAATAGGTACTCAGCGCGTGACCTCTTAGAATTTTCGCACCCGAGAAACGAGCGAGCGAGACGCGGATCAATGCAACCTGCGAGCCTTTCCTCTTCTTCATCTTTTCCGAAAGGGTCCGTGGACTCTTTGAAAGTTTGAGAGGGGTCCATGATTAGAAAAAGTTTAAGAAAAAAAGTTAAAATTGAGTTAGTGCAATTTAAGGGTGACTTAAACTATGTTAGCTTGGTAATTAAGAAGCAGTGTGTGTCAAAAAAGTGGAGAGTGATGTTGTGTATCTGGACTGATTCAGACATGCATTGTTGTTTTTTTTTTGTGGACGCCATGTTTGTTTGGATTTCGACAATGTAAATAATTAATTATGAAAATAAGCGATCATGACGATTACTGTCCTCATGTGCAGCAAATTCATATATTATTATTTAATACAACATTTTGTCTATATTTAAATATTATATAATTCTTTTGTTAAATGTTTTATTGTGATGTATATCATTTTAATTTATATTTTCTTGTTGATTATCGGTGGTGTATCAGCGTCGGGTTGTTTTGCATGCACAACCCGACATATGCTGAGTGGAGACAATTTTGGACCTTAATGTTTAGTATTAAACTTTATAATATCTGTAATAGAAAAATGAGAGCAAATAACTATTATTTTCTTTCTTTTAGCAAAATAAATTATTTTCCTTATATTGTTCTCAGTTTACTATATGACGCCAGTTTAGACAGCGGACTTCGACGACAATTTTCTGATGTACAGGCATACTCAAAACATTTATAAAATATTGTTTGACTTACAGAGATTGACGGCGGCACTGGAGCTACTCTGAACAATTTAAAAGAAAGCATAAACGTCAAATTTCACCCGATAACGCTCAAAGATGAACACAAGGTTTGTATTTCAGTATCTTATTTTCATTATACTTTAGTAATACCTTCATTCAATACTAATATACTTTTATTATACACTCCGTGGCCGGGAGAAATATTTGTATGACCTACATTTATATGTCTCGTGAATTCGGGTGTAATTTGTGCTTGTCTATGTTGTGTCTATGGCACCTGCGAAACAGGGTTTCTCTAGTACAGGGCTATGAGTATGTGCTTTATTATTATTATTACCTATAGGAAATCAAACTATTTTTCTGGATTTAAATTGCGTATATTTATTTTTCAAGCAAACCAACGTTTCTGGGCCTGTAAAGAACTTAATGTTGACTACCGTGACCTGTAAAGGGCCCGAAACGTTGGTTTGTTTGTAATAATTGCAAAAACCTAGGAAATCGAGATTATTATTACCTTTATTATTTATACAACCTCCGTGATCGAGAGGCTTGCACACCGGTTTTCATGATGTCACCATCTCCGAGTCAATGAAGAAAAACTACCTTCTCTTGATTGTCTCGGGACTGGGTGTTTGTGGTATCGTCGTTGGTTCCGATGTCCATAACACTAGTGCTTTAATTAATTACTTTAGAATCAGAGCAACGCATGTGACGTTGTCAAATATTATTATTTAAAAAATATTAGTACTTATTCCCAACTTACAGTAGTATAAATACTGCTATCGAATCTGCCTTACGAATTATAAAGTTGATATAGGTTTTGTTTATAACCTTGTCCTGTATTTCGCTCCAGATGTTTGCTCGTAGTAGCAGAGAACAACAAATTTTCAGTTTGCTCCCAAATATAATCAAGAACTTGTTGAATATTCCCAAATCTGCCAAACTCTACCACGTTTAGTAAAACTTTATCATGTTCTGCCGCAATGAAAATGAATAATAATTAAATCTGCCCAAATGCCTGAAATCTGCCACAAATGGACACGCTGTTCTCAATCTCAATGTGACATTAACATTGGCAAGGGGTCTGTAGTCAAAACGTTCCTTTGCTAACTTTCTTATCTCTCATTTAAATGTTGTCTAAAAATTTTTGTCACGTTGTGTGTTTAGTTTTTTACTTTATGTCATTACTATTTAATTGATTATTTGATTAGGTATTTTATGTCTTTGATGTTTTATATGTGTACGATATAACCAATACTTTAGGTAGGTAAACATTCAATCATCTTGAATTTTTAATTCAGAACATTACTTAGTCTATTTTATCTAACCTTATTTTCAGACGATGCTGCACTACCACATAAACGAGACAATGCCCTATAGCGCCCTTTTCACGGCACTCGAAAACCTCAAAGCAACATATCCAAATCTTATAGAAGACTATTCAGCAACAGAAACTACTCTAGAAGAAGTGTTCTTGTCCTTTGCACATGACAATCAGTTCTCTAACTCACCGAGCCCTGTATAGGAATATTCTCTTGGTTGTAAGAAAGGAATATTCTACAGAGAAAAGGAATTGCAATAATTGATAATGCACCTTATTTAGCACATTATATTTATTTTGGCGTATCGAAGCTCCGTAAAATATCATGATACGCTTATGCGACACTCAGAAAAATGATGGCAAACATTACAGTGTATGCCCCCGATACGAAGAGATATTATGTGTCTATTTCAGTTGAAAAATATATACGATAAAAATTCATGAACTAAGAATAACTTTAACCAATGTTTGTATATGTTTTTCTTGGAAAGTTAAACATATTTATAATTGACGGGAGCAATCTTAATTGACCAGCTGACTTTTTTTACAAACAATCTGACACTGACTCCTCGTCAATAAAAAATCTTTCACATCGAGAGTTCGTTCTAAGTTGGTCAATCTGCTCTGTGTCAATCACTTGCACGTTGTTTAAGTGCCTATATTACCTCAAGTGGCTTTGGTTGATCCGCATAACAGTGAAAGGGTCGAATAAATCACTTTGGAAAAAATATATAATGAAATTGATGATATGCACTGATTACAATATGGTGAAAAAACACGATCAACAAAAAATTTTCACGATAGAGAAAAAAACAAACTTACCTCGAAATTTTACAACAAAAAAAGGTTCAATAAGCAATGCCGAGGCGATTGTCGCCTATGTGGAACGGCGATAATCGCGAATGTTTGCATGAAGAAACTTTTTTATATTCTTTCTAAAATCGTATCTTCGAGACGAAAAACTCTCCGTCTAAATGACCCATAATGAACAAAACAAAAGATATTTTATCAAATAATAGTAGTTTATGTGACTGTTATATTTAAAAGGCATTAAAATACGAGTAAGGGTTTCATCTCACGAGTGTTTTAAATGTCTAATTATGTATAGTTACACATACACTGCTTTATCTACACACATAAGCTCTGTGTGATGTGTTCAGGAACCGCATGTTACGACTGGTGAAATGGCGGCAATTAAAAACTTTTCCCACGCATGTCACACAACATTTATTTTTAATTCATAGACAAACTAGAATCGTTTTTCAGAGATGTTCGAAATTTGAATGTTTTAATTTTAAAATTTATTATTGTTATTTTTTTGAAATTGAGTTTATGGTTTATGTGTGTATATAATCCAATATACTTATGTAGTAGAGGAACCATTGCTATGTATAGATTTTGTTTATATTATATGTATTAGCTTTATAATATATTCTTAACGCCTTAAAAATAAATTAAGTAAGATTGAAAAGACTGGTTTTTCGAATATTTGGATATTT